AATTTTAAACTCATTATATATATATACTGATTATCATATTGCAATTTAATAACTATGAAACACTTTTATAGAGTAGCATCAACTAATCATTATTGACAACTTCATATATATATTTATTCCTTCAATTTTCTTATCATAGCTGTTTTTTATCAAAACGAAGAGAAAAATGAAAGATTGCCATAAACACGAGTAATATACTGATGATTAAGAAAGCTTTTAGTAGAAGCAAGAAAATACTTCACTATGCAAAAATAATCATATAGTTAGGCAATTATTTTTCGATTGCTCTCTGTTACAAGTGTTTTTTTTACTTGGCAAAACATAACATACATCTTATTTGGAAATATTCTAAAACTGAACTTGAAACTAAACAAACAAATGTTCTGTAGAAGTTCAAATAATTGAAGTATTATTAATGTTGCTAAGTAATATAAATGATAAAAACAGACATAGTTAGTTAAATAAAACTAAAAAGATTATCAAAAATTCAAAATAATAGCGATTTAAAATTTATTTATTTATTTCTATGTGCAACAAATATGAGATCCGAAATCAAAAAGCAGAATGTTATAAAAACAGATTATCACCGATTGTAAATAATTTTTGAAATAAAAAAAAAAAGGCAAGTTTATAATAATAAAGTATATGTGTATATAAATATTCTGTTTCATAATTTAAAGCATTACGAATTTATTGTCGACATACGTTGACGACATATAGGACAAATGCGTGTTATTCGTAACCAATTAGCAACACATTCAGGATGAAATAAATGTCCACATTGAAGCTTTTTTAACTGCTCATTTGTTTCAAAATTGGTTCGACATATAGCACTAAAAACAAAAACAAACAAACACAAAAAAAATTAAATCTTAATAAAAAATCTGTCAGAACAATGCTTATGAAATTAAAAATAACAAACACATTCTAATTTAAGTCAAAAGTGTTACACAAATTTATTTACTAAATATTGTGAGTAGTATCGTGCAACCGGGTCAATTCAGGTCCCAGGTATGGGACCATACCTCGAACTCGTGTAGGCAATTAATAAGATCTCAACGTTTCAAAATATTTTTACTTTTTCAAATTGTTAATTTATATAAAAGCATAGAAGTGAAAATCTACGCAATTTATTGTACATTAGAATAGGTCACAGAAGTAGAAAGCAATATTGTTTTCTTTTCAATGAAAATTCATCTACACATGATGATGAATCATATGACAAAGTAACTGAATACATGAGTAGGAAAATGCATTATTAAAAAGGTGAACATGCATTATCATGATGAAAAAAGTATTCATCTATGTCTCTACAATTATGACTTTTGACGTCAATACTATGTTCCATTTCAGTATCATCAGAAATAAGCAAATATATACTTATCGAAATTGATCCGATTTTAGAAGCAGAAAGACATTAAGTGAATTGCTTTTATGTAGAACTTGAGACCATATCCTTTTTTTATTGTTGCTACTCATAGAAAAAACTCAACAGTATACTTTTTCATATAAAATAAAAGTTTGAAAACCATATTCTGACTATAAAAGTACCTGTTGGATGCCGATTAGCTTCGATTCGGGTCTTAAAAAAAAGAAAGTGTTGGTTTGGATTCGATTACGAAAAGTCGTGCCATGCAACATTTTTCTCATTAAATTATTAACAAAATAAAATCAAAATATTAATTATATTTACCATTCAGTTTGATTAAATTGATCAGGTTCTTGTTTAAATGAAATCACAGGTACAGCATCAATATTTTCCTGTGTTGCTGGTGGATTTGGATTAATTGTCATTGGTCCAGCTGTTCTCCATCCCTTAAGAAAAAAAAAACATGCAAAATCAAAAAATATTTTCATCAAACAATCTTTTTCCTATATTTATTTACTTGAAGTAATTCAAGAATAGGTACAGTTATCGATGCTGGTAAACAATAACTTAAAATAATACCAAAAAATACTCCTAAACAGCAGATTATCATAATTAATGGTATAGCTATTAATGGTGATAATATTCTTATCCATTCCCATATTAATAATACACGATATAAATTTGGTGCATATTCTCGACATTGTTGACCTGAACGTGGTTGAAATAAAAATAAACCTCCTATAGAAAAATAATAAATAACAATAATTGTACCAATATAATTTAATATATATTGTAATGCATAATAATATATATAAAATTGTCTTTGACGATTTAAACGAAAATAAAGTTGATTTAGAGTTAAATTTATAATATGCAATATTGTTGTACAACTAAATAATATTAATCCAACAAATGCATATGATTTTAATGGTGAACTTAAATAGAAATCTTCTGTATTATTGTATATACATGTTGAATGTTCAACATTTACCATAGCATTTGCTACTGTACCAATATATGTACAATTAATAACTAAAACAAATAAAAGAATTAAACATTCAACAATTAATGAACGTCGTATAGGTAGTTCAGGTTTTGTTGGTGGTATAAGTATAAGTAACCATGTACTTAAACAAACAATACCAAGACAAAAACGCATTAATTCACATTCATTTGTATCGGGTAATGTTGATGAAAATGAATAAGCTGTACCAAAACATACTGGAATAATTTTAAAAAACATAAAAAATCCACGTATCATTGATACATGACGTAATTGTTCTAATTTTTGTTCTTCAGTTAATTGTGAATTGCGTAATGAAAGATTACGTAATAAAAATAATAGAATTATTAATAAATCAATAAAACAAAATATTAATAAACATATTGATGTTATAGCTAAACGATTTGATAGATCACATTTAGGTTTATTTGATGTTAAACCAATTAATAAAAGTATTATATCAATCAGACGATATATTAAATGAAGTAAACTGCCAGAAAATATACGGTCAAGACTATGGAATGTATTTATCCATGTTGTATCATTTGTTGTAGTTTGATTAGTTGATGATTGATTTACTCGATTTTCTGTATTATCAACTGAACCATTACGATAAGTTGTTGATATTTGTGAAATTATACGATTAATACCACCACCACTTGATTCACCACTATCAATAGGCGAGGTTGACATTTTAGACGAAGAGCTTTAAATAGAAGAAACTGAAATAATAATTTTAAAAAAGTGCGAAAAAAAAACATAAATTAATGATAGACGATGTACTTCTTCACACATCATTTACAAATAACCTATAGGAGAAATGAGTAATGATGTTACATAATTTAAGTGGGCAAATGGATATGAATGTGTCATACGGTTATAAAAAATCTGTTATCTAGTGTACTAATTTTACTGGGAAAATGAGTTTATATAATCATAGAAAATGATTTAGAAGTCAACTATACTGTTTCGCAATCTAAAGGCTTCTCGTTGAATTTGTTTGTTTTTGGATTCTTTCATGTTAAAACAAATTCCAAATAGATTTCCAAAAAAATATTTAAATGAATCATCAAAACAATCGACTGGATTTTCCTTTTTCGATACTTAAATAATAAAAAACACTCAATTCTGCACCAAGAAAGAAAATAAAGAATATATATTTGCCCAATCGATTTCAATATGTTTTAAAAAAATTTTAATGAATATACTTTTATGGAATATCATCAGAAAAGTATTTTAAATTCGAATTTGAAATAATACAACGGAAAAAACGCCATTTTCATACTTCATGTCAAATTACCCAACTGAATTTCAAATTATGAATATTTTGAAAAAAACTAACTTTCATAGGCTTATTGTTAACACCAATCATTTGAATAACAGAAGATGTCATTACAATCGATATTTTAGTTTGAAAAAAATATTAGATTATTATATATTTCATGAAAAAAAAACAAGTGTAACTATTGAATTTTTTACCTAATGAAGAAAAACGAAGAATTCGAAACAAAAAAAAAACAGAACCAGTTCGAAATGAACGTTGATATTCTCGCTGTTTGTTGTACACATCCAGTTGTGATAGACTTAAAATTCAATTACAAACTCAACAAAAAGCTGAATATAGCTTTATTTGTAAATAAAAGCTATATGACTAGATACAAAAAAAGAAAACATTAAAGTAGTTATTGATTTCTTTTTTAAATAGCAAGGGCTATTAAAATTATACGTAACGATGGATTTTTTTAAACACTTTATAATGGTTTATCTGCTGCCTGTCTTCGTCAAACAATCTATATAACAGCACGTTTTGATATATGGTATAGTCAAATCATTAAAAAGTAATACAAATTTAAATTTTTTTGAAAAAATTTTTCTTGCTACTGTTTCTGGTACCGTGGGAGCTTGTTTTTTATCTTCTCACTTGAAATTTTGATGATAAACATATTTTTTAACTAAAAAAAACTTAGATGCACTGACTGATCTTGTTAATATTCGTATCCAAAATGATTGTAAACTATCAAAGGAAAAACGAAGAAATTGTAAACATGCTATTGATGATATTGCGCGAATATGTCGAGAAGAAAGCTTAGTAAAATTATTTAATGATAATATCAGAAATAAAAGAAAAAAAAACCCAACCTTATGAATATTTTCATTCAGGTGCATCAATAGCTGTTATTCGACTAGCTCTTGTTACAATAGAACAAATAGCTTTTTTTATGAACAAGTTAAAGAAATATTATTAGCTAATAGCTATTTTGAAGATAATATGATTACTCATTTTAGTTCAAGTTTTCCTGCTGGTAATATACGGTGACTGTTAGTAAAATTTACAATAGATATATTAACGTTAGAAAGAGAAAGTTTTAGTAAAAATCTTGAAGATTTTTGACTTACTATTTACTTTCCAATTGTGTTGTATGAGAACGAGAGAGTTTTAACCTCTATATGTGAACACCTCGCTATTATGAACGCTTCTAGTCGGTCCCAAAAATCGATTTTTGCTGGAAATAGACCTCTTCTTTATGGATACCTTCTTATTATGAATGCTTTTTACTGATTCAGAAGGTGTTCAGATTGGAGAGGTTTTACTGTATCATTATAGGCAGAGCAACAATACTATTAATAATGCCACTTAATGTCATGAAAACTCGGATGATGAATGCACCATCTGGCATATATAATAACTTAATGGACTATTTTAAGGATATATTTACAGTTGGCCCAAGTGGATTTTTTAAAGGATTTGTACCAACTTTTATTCGGCTTGGTAAAAGGAAAAACAGAAGAGACATTCAATTTTTTTTAGTATAATATTTGTTTTTATTTCTAAAATTTCTTAGGTCCACATACAATTTTAATGTTTATTTTTCTTGAACAATTGAAAAACATTTTGGTTATATACAAACAGATAAACAATAATTGTTGTTTGATTTCTAACCGAATAAATTAGTCAATATACCTGGATCTAAAAAAAGATCTATTTCATTATACATGCAAGCTCATAATATTCTCGCTCAATTTTTTATTTGAATAATTTTTTTTTTATTTACACGTACAACATCCACAATGTTTCATGGTGGACGATTGTATATTTATCATTGTTTTCATTTGTTTTAATTGAATATGTAGAATAATTATGATGATGATAATCAATAGAAAACAATAAAACACGAATAGATTATACTTCCACCATTGAAATAAATAAATAAATAACAGAGAAAACTGATTTTGTAATAAATCAATAGTTTCTATGACAATCATTTAGTCTATACAATGGCTAAGTTACATAGAAAAAAATGCAATTTCAAGCTTTTTATTTTTAGTACGCAGATTAAAATATTATATGTTATATAATAGGGTAATAAATACTTAGATTATGATAACAAATTGTTTATCGAATAACATTATAAGATAGTATCCTGTAAGTCATATTTTACATTACAGAAATAATCAAGTAGTATCAAATGCGCCTAATATTTTTTTGAGAAATGTTTATAAATATTTTATTTATGTGAACTAAAAATTTAATAAATGAACTTGTGATTTATCGACTATAAATAAACGAACTTAACAATGAACTTTTTTCCTTTTCTTGAATAATTGTTTTTTTTTTGAATTTGATGTAATAATGGTAACTAAGAAAAAAGTTTTATTATAAATCGATTGTCATTAAATTCTTCATTTTCTTCAACCTGTTATAAAGATGAATAATCATCGTCTGTACTTCTTCTCATATCTCCGATATAGAATCTTTTATTCTCTTCCTCTAGGTTCTAATAAATTGTTTTTAATTATTTGGAAAGACAAAAGAATCATGTAACCAAGCAAAAGGAGAATAATTTCGTAGCCGTATCATCTTAGACCGAAAAAAAATTTTAATCAAGTTTATTCTTAAGTTTTTTCAAGGCGAAACTCAGGCATTTTGTGCTACAACTTATTTAATTCAAAAAAAATACACTTAACAATCACCTTAATGAGAATACTGACATATTGATAACTTGAAAAATAGATTTTCAGACATAAATTACAGAATGATACTTATGACATTCGTTGATCTTTTTCTTCAAACGATCTCAGTTTATTTATGTTCTATTCTATAGAAGAAAGTATTTTTAATATGTTTACTGGATATGAGTAATATAAAACAAACATAATGAAAGTCGTCATGGGTGAGCAGCTACGTTGATCGACGCATGACTACAACGTTTGTTCGATAGCATGCTGACTATGTTGTAATATACACCTGCTCTTGTGGTTAGTTAGTTTGTATGGGGAGTTCAAGCAATTGAGTGTAGGAATTCTGTGATCAGACCAACCTCCTCACCAGAGCTACAGTTGGTATTAATTATAAGGACTATATCGGACTATTGAGTCTGCCGCTAGGCAGCACATCATACAGTAAGATACCCGCAACATAGGAGTATTGTTCCTTCCTTCCAAACAAAATGAATAATGATGTAATCAATAAATTGCACTGTTTCTTTCGAATAAATAAAATGATCATATGTTTTTGTACAACATGTAGCAGATTAATAGAACACACATATCTAATTATTTTCTATAACATGCTGGAATAAAAAAATAAAAATTATTCCTATTCATAATGTATTTATATGGTATTTTTTTTAATACTCCAGATCAATTTTCAATGTAATGGTAAATAGCTGAAATACCTTAATAAAGAACTTATGGTGTATTTTCTTACATACGTAGGTTTTTTAAAATTTTAATTCAAAATAATTTTTGACAGATAATCTAATGTGTTTATATCTTAGTACACGCGACAGTCATAAAAGATTTTCTTTAATGAGACAACAGCTAACAATGGAAGTAATTTTTCATAAGTTGTTTTTTCAATATCATATAATGGAATATTATTGTCTTTTTTTTTGTTGGATTTCCAAACTCTTCACTGTTTGCATTTGAGTGATATATTAGAGCATTTGAATTTTCTTGAATTCATTTCTTTCTATTAACAAACATATACCAGTACAAAGTCCAATGATTTATATAGAAAAAAACTGAAAAACATTTTTCTTTAGGGTAAATACTTTACCAAACTAGATGGTACACGAACCAAGCCCGTGGTACAAACTCGGTACGAAACACATTCCCAAACTGGACTTATCGTTTATGAAATTATAAAACTAATACATATTTTATTGTATACACCACATATTAGTTATTAGAAAACAAACTGAATTTTATGTTAATTGAAAATCAATAGGTGTTATCTCAAAGCCCATGAAAAGATGAAGCAAAATAATGCTGTTTTCCTGCTTCCCCTTCTCTTTGGATTTAATGTCACGAGAATTCATAAGTATTCGTCGATTTTGAGTACTTGTCACTAGTACTTGTGCTAAAATCTGAGTGTCTGAGTACGACAATTGGTTACTCGTCGTGTAACACTGAATGTTTCATGGGTACTCTATATAGTTTTTGTGTATTCTAGTGATTTAGCTAAAATACTCATAAGTCTATGTTCTGCTCAGTATTGCCGTATTACATATATTTTATTTAGATATAAAACTAAATACAGACAAACATAATGAATATTTGAAAAAACAATGAAGATAAGAACTACAGCTATCCTTTTATCTTTACATTTTTTTAAAATAAATAATAGGTCTAGAGAAATCTTCATTGTTAGAGAAGAAAGTGAAATATTTGTTTATTTTTATACGATAAAAATAAGATTTTATTTATTTATTTATTTAAAAGATCAAAGAAAAGAATAAAATTCTAAAAACAAGAAAATTATTTTTAATAAAATATTTAATGGACAAGAAATTGTACAACTACATGATCTCTAATTTTGTATTATGAGCAATCATTTCTGTCCTACAATTCCATATCTGTTGTGTATTTTTTTAATAATAAATTTTCCTGATATAAAAATAAAGAAATATCTAATTTTCTGTATTAACGACGAAGATGTCTTTATCTCTATCTCATAAAGTAAAAGTACACTAAAATACAGATTGAGCACAGTAAAATATAGGAATTTATCTTATGGAAATGACAATAAAGATTATGAACATTCATATCAAGAAAAATGGCGTATAGTTTCACCTCGTAAAATATTACCAATGATTTTACTTAATAAATCATTATTATCAACAATTGATTCAGTCATCAATATTGATTTATTAAGAACAACTGCAGTTGGTTCAACAATTTTACATTTTGGAATAAATAATAGATTTAATATTACACAATGATATATTATGATTGGATATATTCATCATACACGATATTTTCATGTAGATTAACAAACAGATCATTTAATTCTTATACGTCCTACTGATGAATTAATTCATCAAACGAGTATAAATGAACTTCGTATTAATGTACTTAATGATTGAATTTATATGAATGCAATTAAAGCAATCAAAAAAAAATCTTTAATTTTCTTTATTCAATATGAAAAATACTCCAATAGGTGTTGAAATTGTACGTCTAACTTTCAGGTTCAATAACTTTTATTAATTCATTAGTGCAGAGTTTCCAAGTCAAACATATGTTACGTGTGTGGGTGTGCGGTGTGGATCGTAGATGAACTAGTTTAACTAATTCAGATTGGACCGGACTAGTCAGTATATCGGTTCAGCCGGTAAACGTTAGTTCACTGATGGATCAGTCAGTCTAAAATCCGTATCGGTACTGGTTGCATCTCTATAGTCGACCAACTGGTTAAAGGGTAGGCATTTTGAAGGTGAGAGATGCTTGCCTTCATTCATTTTTTATGCAATTAGACTGTTTAAAGCTCAACAGTTATTTCTAATAGGCTCAGGAAAAAGATCGGCCGAAATCGGTTCCATCGATGGTGCGAGCGTGGTTTTGGGTTGTGGGTTAAGAGAAGATCAACACTTATACTCTGAACATAATTGTCATATAGCACATACTAATTTACATATAAATGTACTTGATGAAAAAAGCTCATTAAATCAAACAAATAATGGTATGTGGGTGTGCGTATGGGTGTGGACGGTCATTTCAATAGTAGCTACACCCACACTCAACCTCTGAAAAAATAACACTGATGTTAATACACTGTTGATCACTCCATCGGTTTTTTTTTGAAAGAATAAATCAAATCGTCGGAAGATAAGGAGAGCAGAATAAAGCTCATCTTGAGCAATGAAAAATAAAGTCACTAGTAATATTCTATGTATATTAGTTTTTCTTTTTTTTCCTCTCTTAAAATTTCTTATGTCTTTTCATTTTCTTCTCAAACACTTATTCACTATCTAAAGATATATTTGGTGATATTATTTCGAATCGTGTGTATTTTTAAAGTCCATTTAGATGTCTTGTTCAATTACAGCATAAGTTCAATTCGGTGAAGAGATCGAAATCGTTGACATTTACGTTGGTTCTAATTTAGCTGAAGTACATTCTCAATTTGTAGTACTATTGTATTTGGATCCATCTCAATGTATTACCCAAGTATTCGAATCGAAAATGTTCAACGAATATGTTAATCTTTCAAAAGTTTCCTTATTGAACAATATGGGTTTAGGTCGGCTTCGAATTGTTTCGAAAAAGGTATCTAATACTTTATTTTCACTAGTGAACAAAGGATATTGTCCATTTCAAGTTGATGCAACGAATGCACAAAGCACATCAACTAATTATACTCGCGTGGCACCACTTGCAAGTCTTCACAATGCATCACCACAATGTCTAAATCAAACAACATCATCATCAAGTACTTTTAATTCATCACAGGTTAATAATAATCATCGATTATTAAGAATAATTTTTACTCGATCTTTTCATATAGGACAGTTTATCAGTATTGTACAAAGATCATATCGATCGAATGAGTTTCGACGACGAAAATAATTATTCAGAGTTGAAGTCGTTTGATTCTGCCGAAGAACCTATAAACTTTCAACAAGATAGTAATGGCAAGCGTCATTTGGTGCGTAGAGTCATGATTATTTTAGCTTCTTGTGTAATGATGCATGCCATCATTGATTTTTTCGTAAACTTAAATTACATTAATAAATTAAACATTAGCTTATAAAAATCCACCTATGCATTTACGTCATTAGATTATCATTTATTCTATGCTTTAAGATAAACTACATGTACTACCATCTTTACCATCACCTGATATTTTACCACCATTTTCTATTTATATAAGAAATGCCATCTCTACAGGTAATTCAGATAAATGTTTTAGTTACATTTCAAAAACTAATTTCAAATGCCTAGGTTTGATGCAATCTGTAATGCAAGACGTAGTGCACATGCTGGCTTCACATTGGATTGGCTTCAATATCTCGTCGAAAACATATTACAGTCAAATTCGTGCTGATTTTGCCAAAGAATATTCAATGAACGAATTTAAGGACAACCGAGTTCTTTTTTGTCTATTATTCTTCTGTGATTTCACTTATCGAACACCTATGAAATATCTTTTTAGGATCTTCTTATCCAAAAACTATCTCGCCGACTACATGATTTACGAAGTCGAAAGAAGAAAAACAAGTTTTATGAGCACTTAGCTCTCGACTGGGATAGTAATCGATGTAAAGACAGTGTTAGTCAAACGAATTCATCGGTTGTTGATCAAATAACAATTAGTAAGTTCATCTTTGCTACTTACATAATAAAAAGATGGTTAACTAACAAAACTGAATCGAAAGAATACATTAAAAAGTTGAGCGATGCATTTCACGACAATGAAATAACAACAAGCAAAACCACTTAACTAATTGTTGAGTCATTTCGTATTCGTCGTACTTATTTACGACTTGGTCAAAGTATGCAATATGTTTGAAACGAAATGCCTTTTACACAACATATAACATTTGTAAGTGTTATTTTTCATGTTGATCCTGTTCTTGTTTTTCTTTTTAAAGATCAAATTGGAATTCGAACTTGTTACCAAAGTGTCTTTATTGATTGCTACTCAATGTATTCGAAAGTGTCTCGATAACATTATTTTTAATGAAATCTACGGTGAATTACCTGATGTGAATGTAATATAATCATAGGATTTGAACAAAAGCAATAAAGATTTCAGAAAAAAAATTAAGTAATTCTCCTAATTAAACAGATACATCTATTCTCTTCACTATTTTATTTGAGATCTATGAATAGTTTATCTTTCACATTTTCATACACGAAACTAGACAACTGCTCTCAAACTTTTTCTTAAGAATTGATCAAATACTAACATTTACGTAATTTAAACATTCGTAGCTTTCTCAAATTTCAAGTGTATTACTAAGAAAAGCTAAGAATGAAATTGGAAAAAGTCATTCTTCAAATTTCATGATATTGATGTGCTATTCATTCGATAACAATCCTTCATATTATTTAGAAAGACGAAGAATTATTGACGAGAGTTGTTGCTCGTATGGGAGCATGTTATACAAACATAATCGTCAAAGAAAAAGTTGGAAGAAAAATATTTTAATTAACGTAGAATCCTAGCATGATTCACTTGATTCTTTGAGTAATTTTATTGATTTTTTTTTCTGCAAATAATATAGTGTGCATTGTGATTCATTATATTTTGTTCGACATGTTTATCGTATAGTCGATTCAATAGCCAGGTTCTAAAGGTATTTAATCTTACATGTGAAACAGATAAACGAAATATAATTTCTAAAGATGTCAGGTCATGACAGACATATCAAGCTCTGCAACACGTCTAAGTGTTGACGTGAAAGATCTTGTATGACTGAGAGTAAATCTACGTTCACCAGAAAAAGATAGTAACTTGCTGAAAAGAACTTCTGAAAACTATTTATTACAATGCTATCGGCGTTGAGTAAAAGTTTTTTCTGAAAAATGAGAAAATAGAATTTATTCATATGCATTGTTGATAATTAGTATGCATTCCATTGAATCAAGGATTAACTTATCTCTAAGAAATAGTGAAATGATCAATGGAAATTCGTTTGCTTCTATCAATTATATCTGCTCGTTAATTATTGTTCATATATATAATTTTTTCAATAGTCTGAAAATATTTTGAAAAGATACAGTAAAAATGAAAACAATATTCACATGGGTCTAGCAATTATCTGTAATAGTCAAACAAGTCTAATAACAATAAAGCGTTTTTTTAATATATATAACGTAGTGAAATAGAAAATGTAAAAAGCTGATATCATACTAAGATTAGATCAGTTTTATTTTCTGGTTTTGGAAGTTGGTACCATGACATTCTTTCGTTTGTTTCAACATATAGAACGTGTACAAAACTATTCCTTCCATTTTGTTTCGTTGGCATGATTGTCATAAAACGTAACCTTGTTCTCTTTTACACTTCTCGTGCGTATACAAGTTAGATACATACATGTGTTTAATCACTCATAAATTTATATATTATATTAAGTATAACAAAAAACAATGGTTCATGCACTAATACAAGTATTTACACTGTGTCTTTTCAAGTTATTGAAATAAATCTGAAACAAACGATATGAAATTGTTTTTATTCGACATTTTTCAATCATTCGGCCAATTAGATTCTGAACAATGATTCTTATCGATTAATAAGCATTTTTCATCATTTTACTCATTGAAATTCTGTTAAACTTTTCATCATTATTCATTGACTTTTTCTTTGTTCATCATTTAACAAATCAAATAAATCTTTATCGTTGATTTATTTGTCAAATGAATGATCAAACAAATAAGATAAACTCTTAATAAAAATGCTTTCGATTATTTCCAGTAAAGGAAAAAATTCGAAAATCTTTTCACAATCAAAACAAAGATTTTTATTTTATTTATAATTGTATATTTTTCAGTCAGTATGCTCTTCGCCGAAAGCCACATCGTCGAAATGCAGTTCGTCGAAGTTCGGCGAACTGCATTTCGCCCAAGTCCCATTTCGGCAATGTGACTATCGCGTATCTGTATTTTCGGCGGTGTCACTGTGGACGATATGGCGATCGGCAATTTTATGCCAATGATCGAATCGAGCAGTTAACAACTCTAACTTAAGTGAGTGACACAATAAGTTAGAAATCAAGTTAGGGATCAAGGTAGTTACTGACTTGATCAAGTTGGGAACCAAGTTGATCATGTCAGCTACTAGCTATAGTTAGGAACCACGTTAAATTAGTCACTAACTTGATTCAGTGCTAACTCTAATAAGCTAGTAGATGATCGAAATGAATTCGGCGATCTTTCTTTTCAATAATGTTTGTTTCGGCGCGAGTTTCGGCGATGTTATTTTTCGGCAATATCGCTTTCGGCGATGAGGCATACAACCACTTTTAGATGATACTACCATAAAAATTACAAGGACTACAGATAATTTATGAACTGATATTCTTTTCATACAGCTGAAAGCTTTTGTTAAAAAAAGCTTTTATTCTTTTATTATAACTTTCTCGACAAGTTTTTGTTTCGACCAATTTTCTTAGACTTAGATAGTTGATTTTTATCTCAAGATGTATATTCATTTTCTATACAATGATTAAAATCTATTTTCACGTGTTCATTCATTGAATATTTCTACAGCATTACTTGATGCTGATGTTGATCTGTTTGAAACGATGACTTTGTTCCCAATGATATTGTCTTTTAGTACAGTTTTATTTTGAATATAACATCTTAGAAAGAATTATTATATTTCCATGATAAAGTATATTTGTTTGATTAATAATAACTTATTCCAGCATTAACTAGTCTTTTACTTCGTTGATATCAATCAGTCTTAATTCATTGTTTTATTTAATTTTTGAAATCAATATCTGTTAGTAAATAAAATAATTTATTGAGTTGAATATTCTATAATTTATTGTTTATATCAATATATATGTATATATTTTATACAATGAATTTTAAAGTAGTAATCGCTTGTTATTTTGTTTTTCATCAAGATTCGGTTTTATTGGTCGTGCCATGATTTCACTTATTGATAGTCGAAATAAGAGAAAATTATTGTCCTGTTTATTCAAGCGGGCACTCATGATACAGTAGTAGTAATGGTTTTGTTTGGTTTAACATTTTCTCGACCGAAATCAGATATAACTTTAGCATATCCTATACTTGTTTCAATGGCAATACTTAATACTATTCCTTGTATGGGTTAAAACAAGCCTAATATTAATAGAAAATTACATTATTTTAAAAATATTTAATAGAGAAAAATGAAAGAAGATGAAAGAATTATTCAAAGAATGACATCAAACACAATTTGGCTTGATGGAAGCACGTCTTGATCAGTTTCTAATTTTTTTAATCAACAAAGTATAAAATCTGGACTACATAGTTGTTAATCTTATTCTATTTGCTTCTTAAATGTTTTTCTATCGTATCGTACAAGTAATCAATTTGCATGTATCAAATCGCTTTTCTTTCTTTGGACTGTATTAGACATATAATTCATATTGATTTTGATTTTTGCATTAAAAATAAAAAAAAAGCAGCAGCAGCTCAAGAAGAAAGATTTGTGGTATGTATAAATAAAATTTACAATATTTCACTAAAATCAGTCTTATTATGGTGGACTTGTTACAAGACCAGCAACACCTCGACCTAATTGTTGGCCAGCTACTGTACTCTCTAATGGTTTGAAACCAATTTCTTCAATTGGAATACCAAATTGTCGTAATTTAGCTTCATATGTTCTTAATATATCATTATGAGCTTTACAAACACGAGCCAATTCATATTGTAAATCACGAATCTATAAGAAAGAGAAAAAAAGGCTTTCAGATACATTTAAAATGTGACATTTTTTGCTAATAGTAAACGTAGAAGATACTATTCTACGAGTAGAACCCTCAAAACGTTTTTGAAATAACACTATTAATCTATTCTATGAATTATATAGTTAAGCATTGGTATCTGAATAAAACTACTACACGCACTTCATATCTTTTCTTCGTTCACTCTTCTCTCAAAAATATACCATTATATGTTTATAAAGAAGTTAGAGTGAATAGTCAAAACTGTTGTACTTGCTCAGTCTTGAAAGATCGTATCACGGTGAGAAAAGTATATGATAAAACTTGATCTTTTAATATGAACATGAAATGTTCTAATTGAATTCTTCTCAAAGAGTAACATTCATTCTTTATTAATCTCAATTAAACTATTAAGTTTTGTCATATAAAATATTCAACTTGCTACACTCTTTTGTGTTACATATATAAATATGAGATTTAGTTTGAAAAATTTTGTGAAAATTCACATCTTTTGATAATAGAAGCAAGTCTTAGAACACTTACCGATGTATTTTTAGCATCAAGTACTTCCTAGAATATGGTGAAAAAAAAAGAGCAAAGGCTAGTTTAAATTTGATCAAAAGAAAAAAAAATGTTTACTTCAAGTTTTCGTGTAACAACTGATAATGATGCTGGATCAAGATTTGATGCCGATAAGACTTCATTTAATTGAGCTTCTTTCTTTTCAAGACTATCCGCCAATGTAGATAATTTCTTTTCTAATAATAAATTCTTTAAACTACTCTTTTGTTGGACTTCATTAATAGCTTTAATAAATTTATTATAAAGATCATCACGTTCTTTTTGAATCTAAATCATATAAAACAAAATTTTAATATAATTATTATTAAAATAAAAAAGAAAAACATACAATTTCAAATCGTTGTAATAAAACTTCATATTCCCATTTAGAATTTTTTAAATCAGCTTCACAATTTTTCAATTGATTTTTTTTACTCTAAATATTTTAATTGATTTATTTTATAGATGAAAAAAAAAAGAATTTCAAATTAATTATACTTCATATAAACTTTTAATTTTTTCATAATTTTCAGCTCGTCGTCTTAATTCTTCAGTTTCTTTTCTTGCTGCTTCAAGTGGTTCACGCATTTTTCGATTTTCATTTTCAAGTTCTGTCATACGTTTTTCTGATCGTTCTTCTTCTTGTTTTTTCTTTTCCATTTCGTTCTAAAAGAAAATAGATAATATATATTTATTTATAGGAAAATTAATTTATTTTACTTTAAGTGTATTAATTAAATTAAGATTATTTAATGTAATATCGTTATAATAATTTTTAATATCACTAAATGCTTTTTCATGATTACGTAAAAGATCATTAATTTGTTGATTTTTTCGTTCTTCAATTTCATGTATATCAGTTTTACGTCGTAATTCCATTTCTTCACGTAAATCACGTAATTTTTTTTCATATTTTTCTTCAATTTCATGAGCTTGTCGAAGAAAATCATCACGTAATTTAGATACATATGATTCATTTGACTAAAAATATATATGTCGAGTAACATATAATAAAAATAAATAAATAAATAAATAAAATCAAACCTTTTTCAAATTTCGTACAACTTCTTGTTGAGCTAATTCTTGATCTTTCATTTGTACTTTAAGTTCTCGTTTTTCTTTCCACATCGTATTGTCAGCTTCATTATGTGCTTCTTGAGCTACTTTTAATTCAGCAATTGTTTCAGCTTTTAATTCGGCAATATTATTTTGTTGTTCATAAAGTAAATGTTTGACTTTTTGTTTATAAACCTATATGTAAATAAAATTCATTGAATTAACTTTCTATATTAAGGAAGGAAAAATATTGCGGTATAAGATGCTGCCTAGAGACAGATTCAATAGCCCGATATATTCCCTACAACAGAAGGTGGCTCTATATCAAACGAAAAGTAAGATTTTTCGAAATTAGAAGACATTGAATCGTATTTATCTTTTGTAATATTTTGTTCTCATGGATAATAGACAAGTTAGTCTTCTTAGGACAAACGACGGCAGTCATCATCTTGAGGTTTAATTCGTCTTAAGCCAGTTAGATTGTCTTAGCTCCGTTTTAAGGTTTTTATTTGAGAAGTTATAATTGGTTGATAGTACTAATGAATTAAAATATTCATAAATGTTAACATATTCATGGCGATGTAACCCACCGATAGTTCACAGTATAGTATACAGTGGGTACTTAAAGTTTTGAAACTTGATATAAAAATATTCTTAGTCTTTTTAGCTGCATCCTCTAGAAACAGATTTTCGACAACCTTGCAGAATCAAATCGCTTTCAATGTATTAAAGATGAAAAAGTTTGTATTTCAAATTTTATCTATGTAAATTATGATCAATGCTAACTGTCCATAAATTAACTTGATTTATTCATAACTTTTGCAGATCTTATCAATTCAATCTATTTAATCAAACATAGCTAATCGAAGCTAAACTCTTTTCCGAGTTTAAATTCATTCAAAAGCTTACTGAACAAAAACCTAGCTTTGACGAAAATATTTTTGCTTTCTTTTCGTTATTATTTGTCTCCATTAATGATATACTGGATTCGATCAACACATATATAATCGTACAGTTTTTTGCATCAATTTAATCTATATTATTTGCTCTTATTATATTAGGATTAGTGAATACTTTAGATATACAGCAGAGAAAAAATAGTTAATATCAAGACTTAAATAAACTTTTAAGTCTTTTGATTCTTCTTTGTAGTCATCTTGTATATCAACATTTTTCTTTTTGTTTTTAGATGCTCTGAAACTTTATATAAGACTTACTTTAATTTCAGCTTGATGTTGTTCTTCTGCATCTTCTAATTCCCGATCTTTATTACGTAATTCAGCTTTTTTTTCTTCAAGTTGTCGTTTTGTTATTTCCCAAAATGTACTTATACGATCACGTTCAAGTTGAAAATAATTTCGTTCTTCACGTTCACGATCAAGTTCTTCACGTATACGACCTAAATGTTCTTCTAATTCTTCTTTTGTCATCTAAGATTATGATAAATATATAAATAAAATTAATTAAATAATTGACAAAATCAAACAAGACAAACCTCAGCAGCGGGGCGACCATCAATGATGGTTGGTGCTTTGGGTGATTTCTTCTTCTTGCCACCTTTTTTTGGAGCCTAAGATAATATTTAATTATATATTTTTTAATTTTATTTTAAAATCAAAAAGATTTTTAGGAAACAAACATACCATAGCTGCGCTATAAAAATGGAATTGAAATTGTTAAAAGAAAGTCGTGTTTTACTTAATATGAAATGTATAGTTCATTAATATTATTAGTATCTAGCAACAGCCTCTTTTGTCTCGTTTATTCCTATAGAGGTCATTCAATATCATACATACAATAATATGATTGGTTCAAAAATTTTTATTCTACAAATTAAACACAACAGTTTGATCATATTACAACGAAACACATTTAGTTTTGTTATTATTGTGATTTATATAAATGTTTTGTTTGTTTAACATAGAGAATATGTTCATTAAGTGTTTGCTGTTCTTTTAAATATTGTTGTCGTGTAATAAATGTAAATAATGTAGTGGACGAATGATAATTTTGATTATGATCTTTATGATTTATTTCTTTAGAAAATTTATTATTTTCTATGGCAGTCAAATGATTATTTTTATGTTGAGATAAGATTTTTTCATTTGATATATTATTCCAAAGAGGATTACATGGTTTTGGCGTTGATGGATTAGATATTTGTTGATATTTCGAATTTTCTAAATACGAAATTATCTTTAATTCATCATTATCAGATATTTGATCAAATTTTTCATTTTTATTGATTATTTCAGATAGATTTTTGTTTATGAATTCATTATCTTTTATTTTTGGTGATATTGGTAATTGTTTCATATGATAAGATGGTATCATTTTACTATTACTAAATGAAATAAAAACAATGAAGAAGAAATTTGAAATGAAGTATCATCTTACAGTTTATCTTTTTTATTGTAATTGAAAAGAGTTGTACTTAATAATGATGATTGTTTGTTATCTTCTGTTAAAATTTTATTAATAGGTAATTCAGTAGTTAAATTAGATATTTGATTGAAATTTGATGTAGATATTGATGCAAATTTATTCTTACTAGGTGAATTATTTAAAAGTAAATAATCGTGCTGAATTGTTGAATTTGTTTCTTTTTCGAAACAGTTTCTATGACTAGAATTAGTTTCTATTTTATCTATAGATGAATTAATTTTGTTTATTGATGATATAGAACTTGATGAAAATGATGCTAAAATAAGATTAATAAAAATGATTAGAAACTAACGAACAGATTACAGAGTGTTGATAGAGTTTTTTTCTCATTAGAGGATTTTATTTGTAATAATTCTAAAGGTTTGTTTGTTTCTAAGATTTGTTGTTTAAGCTCTGTAGTTAATAAAACACAAGTCATTTTTATTTTGCTGTTACAAAAACTTATTTTGTCGTTATTTTGAATACCTAACTTTGTTATAGAATTATTTTTATTTGAGTTAGGCAATGAGAATGAATCTAAGTTTGTCGATAGTTTTGGAGAACTATCGATTGACTTCAATATTAAAATGGATTGATTATCGATCTTATTTTCCATATGAGAATCCTGATCATTTGAGGCGTCTTTCAGAATAGGCAGTTTGCTTTCGGATATTTTGTACGGATTGTCTAATATGTCGAGTTGTATATTCAAAGAAGAATTTAGTAATATTTGTGAACCATTCGTAGGATTATCAATCGTTGGTGAAGTGATTGAATTAGCATCTTTCGTAACCGACTTGGATTGTGTCTTGACCGGTTCGTTGACTAATGAATTAATCAGAAAAGATGATGAAATTTCATCTAATGTATTTCTTAATATTGAAATAGAAGAAGACATCTATAGCATATCTTCTTGATTGCAGACATTTTTCCTTAATTCGAGAAAAAAAATGTTTGCAATGCGAAATGAGTGTGAAAATAAACACAGTGAGATGATCTTGAGAGAGTGGATGTATCAGGCTTCTCTTCATTCTTATACGTTCCATTAATGATTTTTTTTTCACATAATAAATCTTGTCTTGATTCTACTATGCGGCTATTTTTATCTGTCCCCTTCCGATTCCGCGTTGAAGACATTTTTCCTTAATTGTTCGGGAAAAAAGTGTCTACAATCTGAATGAAGCCATTTATAGACTATTTGCTTTTATAGTATAGATATATTAAGAACCTGTATTTGACGATGATATAAGATTATTTGTTATTTTGTTGATAGGATGTACTACGGAAAATATATTGTTAGGTTCTTGTTGAATATGTGTAGATATCGAGTTTTCATACGAATTTTCTTTGTTTTTAAATTGATTCATTGAACTTTGAGAACTTGTGTTTGTAAATGATTGTTTTAATCGATCACTGGTAAAAGAAAAGCACTTTTTTCGTACAGACCTATGTTGTTCTGATAATGGTAGAGATCGAACATCTTTACTATTAGATTCTGTTATTGTTGCTAGTTTTTTTGCTTTTGCGTGAGCAAGTCGTTCAGCTAATGGAATACATTTCGATGATATAGTACGATGTTTATCATCATGACTTAGTGATAAGATTATAGATTGTACTTTATCACTGGAATTTTTCATGTCAAATATTGACATTTGAACAGAAGAAGATTCTATTGAGTTAACTTTAGTAAATGATATAGTATTGATTTGTGATGATTGTGTAACTTCACTGAGAATGTGTAAAGCTTGTTTCATTATTTGACAAATCATTTTTTCAATTTTTTCTTCGAATTGATTTTGTTGAGATTTATTCAAAGATGAATCCAATTGATTAAAAATATACTTTTGCGATAATTTATCTGTAAAATATTTAGAACTATTGATAAATAGATGCAGTAAAATCTACTGGAAAATGAAGCAACTGTTTTATTTTGAGTATTGAGGTCATTGATGATTCGATTGGATATTAGTACTTCATATTGTTTGATATCATCTTCTTCTTTTGATGAAGGATTATTAGACTGAGAGAGAGTGAAATTCTTAGAAAACGACTACTTTTTTAAAACAGTTTTTTGTAGGAACTCACCAATGATGTTGAATTAATTGTGTTGAATTTACTATCGGATAGCATTTGTTGATCATTTTTTGCTGTAAGAGTATTTTCTGACGATAATTTTATTAAATTTGAAATGTCGGATTTTTTCGTAGATTTTGGTTTTATTGGAAATATCTGTAATTATTATTTGAAAGAAAATATATTAATTTGAATTTTCTTACAGCTGGTGTTGAAATTGGCAATAAGGCGTAAGATCGTTTAATAGCTGAGATACTTTTATCATCTATTTTATTTGATGATATTTCATTTGATTTGGATTTTTTACTTGATTCAGTTGTTGACGATTCTATTATTTGAAATGATTTATTTTGTGTTTGTTCTTGTTGCTGTTTAATTGAAGCTAAGAGAATATTAGCATGGAATGGAGGTATAGATTTTGATTGTGTATTACGTAGAATTGATTTTCTTGGAAAATCATTTCCAATGGATGAATTCGGTAAATTTTTTGAAGTAGAAACAAGTTCATCTTTTTTATCTTGTAAATTGTCTAATATTGATTATAGTTTTTTGTTTAGTTAAAGTAAATGTTTCGTGAAATTTTTCACCTGTTATTGAATTTAATTTAGTTGTTTTTTCGTTTAATACGAAAATCGAAGAAGAATGAGTTTTTGTTTGATCATCAATCATTTCAATTGGTACTTTATTGTCAATAGAAGACTCGTACGCAGTTAACTTATCGATATCCATTGATGGTAACTCTTTCTCTCTTTCTGCAGAATAAACTGAAGTACGTATGCCAAAAAAAACATGATCAAACAGACTCATGAGAGAAGTCCTGCAACTGATAAATCACTTTTGAAGTCAAAACTATATGTATTATGTAGACCCAACTGAGCTATAAATATCCTGAAAAGACTTTGTGTCCTTAGATTATTGCTGCGAAGATACTCTACTTTTACGTTACTTTTTAAATGAATGCCATGATCGAGAAAAACTGATTTTCGAATTTCGATTTGAAACGTTGTACAGCGATAGATCTTAACAAGAATAGTTTATTGTTACCCAACAGTGATTTATCCGTTGAAAGATTTCTCTAATCAGTGAGCAATCGATTGGTAATCCTTGTTTTTCTTTTAAGTTATCTTTTGCATCTGAAGAATTACCGAGATTGAAATTGTATATAGAATTCTTTTCTTTGAAATTTTGACACGAAATTAATGGATCTATCATAACATTACCAGTCGGCGAAGTAAAACGTTGCAAAACAACATTTGTATTAGATTGTGATCCTCCTTAATGAAATACAAAATGTTCTTTTACTTGAGCAAGTTTTGAATCTACGCGTACTCGATTCAAGTTTGTTTTCTGTAGGTAATTCAGATAATAAAATTGAATCGAATTGTTGCGATGTGGAATTAATAGTTATCTCTTTCGAATAGTTAACTTTTATTTGTTGATTTCGATCGGCTTTAGATTTCAGCAGTTCAGAATTATCAGATGATTCGATTGTTGATAATGTTTCGTCAATGTTATCATGAATTTGATTTATTATTAATTGTTTGGATTGCATACTGTCCGATGATAAATCAATCTTAGGAAATTCTTGTGATGAAGATACTTTGTTTGAATCTATATTTTGTATATTATTCATTTTCATTGATGAGCTGTTCTGTTTTGTTGACTCAAGTGAATCAATATTAACATTTGTAGTTTCATGAATCATTGAAGATGAATTAAATTTTATTGGTTTTGTTTCTGATATTTTATTTGCTTTAACTTTCTCATCGAAGGAAACTTCATTAGGACTCGATGATATGTCGAATTTATCTTTATTCTTCATGGATGACGATTGTGAAGATCTAACTTCTTGTTGAATTGATGTGTTGAATAATTTAAGATTTTCTTATTTTAAAAAATAATCATATGAAAGAAGTTTTTAAAAAAAAAAGAAAATTTACCTATTTGATCATCATGAGCAGAATTTGTTAGTAAATTTTCTGATTTAATTTTTTCAGTTTTTAACTTTTTATTTTTTTCATTTATTAATTTCATATTTCGATTTCGTTTATTAATATTTTTATTATTAAATAATAATTTATATTTTTCTGCTCGTCTTTCTTTTGTAGAACAACAAATTGGTATTAAACCTTTATTTAATTCTTTAATTTTTCCTAATTTTGAACTTATTCCACATGTTGTCATTTTTGCTTGATATGATGTAAAACCAATATCATTTTCTAACCATTGTTGAAAATTTTCAATATTATTTATTGAATGATATTTTGAATAAAGTGTTGTTAAATCATTGATACCAGATTGATTTAATAAATATTCATTTTTCTTACCTATACCTGGTACACATGTTAATGATGTATGTCCAATACAAAAAACAAAACAACGATGTTTATTAGTTCGTATTCGTAAAGATTCATAAATTGAATTTTTCGTAGAATAAAATTTAGATTCTGTAGAAATCATCAAAGAAAAACAAAAGAAATTCGAAAGAATCGATAAAAAAACAATGTGATTTTGACATAGCAACATAAGATTATTTAACTTTTCTTTTTTTTTTTGTTTTAGATTTTATTAAATATGAATGAAAGATCGGGTGAACAAGGTGATTTTTTAGCTGAAGCTCAATTAGCATTAGATGATTTAGGTGATGGTATTGTTGCTGTAAAACAATTATCAAAACGTCTTAATAATCCAGATGATGTTTCAAAAGCATATTTAAATATAAAATCTAACGCTGATGTTGAATTTTGTATTGAATTAACACAAGAAGGTTATCGAGTTGTAGGTGATCATTTTGATGATAATAGTCAATTATCAACAAATTATTATGAATCATTACAAGCTCTTTTAACACATGAATCAAGATCATATGTGGATAGTTTTGCTCACAGTTTACAAGAAAAACTTTTCGCTGCACAAAGTAAATTACAACAAGATCAAGATGATGATGAAAATGTTTCATAAAAAATGTATATCTATGATTGAAACATTCGTTGCTTTTTTTTTCCTATTTGTAGATTTTCTTTAAATAAAAGCCATTTTAGTAAAGGATAAATATAAAAAATTTATCTGATATTTTATTTCAATAAATAAATGAAAATAGCGGATGATGGAAGAGTTTTTAGACGAGACATTTGTTCACTTTTGATCCGCTAGAAAATATTTCCGACGAGTCAAAAGCTATGAGTTTGGTCTAGAATATTATGTGCTTAGAAATTCTGTCTCAGTTTTTTGTTCGAGAATAGTGAAATAATGTTTGAAAAAACCTAAAAATTTGGACGTAAAATTTTTGTCTTTTCACTATTGTGATTCGAAACTAAAACTTAGGATTTTCATTTGTATATTAGTTTATAGATCAGAAGCTACCTTACAAAATGCATTATTTGAAATTTTTTTCTGCCGTTCGACAAGACACTTCAATTCTTGTTTTTCCTAAGTACTTGTTCTCATATAAAATGATGAGTATCACAAAGTATTGCATAGCTCCTGATTTAAAAATATTGGAACAATAAACAAAACAGAATCTGAAGAAAATCGCTCTCAGAGATGGAACACAATAGTTTTGATGAAGAAACTCTAAAAAAAACAACATATTTCATATGTTTTGACAAACATGGAAATAAAGATTGACCAATTTAAAATAATTTTATATTCATATTAGTCTCACCTCCATGCTGTAAAAATGCTAATGATTGTTATACTGATTATTTATTACATTCATCGTTTTAAAATGAGATCTAATTTGAATTATCTCACAAAAGGAATTTTTCTCTGCTGATATGGCGTAAAATTTTAGGAAATTTTTGAATTCGATATTGAAAAGTTGTCATAACTAATACTATGTAGCATTGGTGAGTCCCATTTTCGATGCGCTTTAATTTGGCAAAAAACTTATTGTTGATATTATTTGAAATAACAGCATTACTTCCCTGAAAAAATATTTTTACGCATCCTGCAGTATCATTTATAATCTTCGTTTCGATTCCTTCTTCTTATTCTTTTAGATGATAACTAAAAATGATCTATAAAACACTACATATGTATTTTTCTTATTTTATAACAAGTCAAATTGCTTTCACGATACCAACTGAAATCCAACTCAGATCGAGTTACAAAAAAACTTTTGGATTTCAGATCGAATCTGCAGCCTGAAGATTTTATAGGCTACAAAAGGCATTTTGAATGATGTTTTCATTTAAAAGTTCTATTATAGGCATAAAAAAGCTCAGCACAACAAGAAGTTATGTTTCACACTTTCCTTTCTTCTACTTCACCGACATTTCTTTATTAACATCGATCAACAATGCATGGTGAATGCACTGTCTGTCCAATGATGATATAGAGATCTCAGACAGAGTCCGTATGAAAAAAAATCTTGAATAAATCTATCACTAAACAAAAATTCAGCCCATTGGATTGAATTGACGCGGCGACGTTTCTTTTTTTTTTCATCATAGTGTTATCTATAACCCACCCTGTATATTCCGTGAACTATCATAAACAAACAGATAAAGAAGTCAATCATTCGAAATTTCTTTAAATGCTCTCCTAAAAACTCGATTTTGGTCTAAGTACATTCAAATCACATGAAATTTTCAGGATGTCGAAGCTGTAATGGAGAAACTATGGTGAAAATTTCAGTCATATAACATGATGTTTTCGGGAGATATTCAACAAGCAAAGGTCGAGAATAGTCAAAATTCTCTGTGAGTCTTTATAAAAGCACTCTTTTATATTATAGTGACAAAACTTAATTCAAAAAATGGACTCTAGCATGTCCTGCATCTTGGCATAGTCCTCAAAACAGAAAATGTAGTCATTGGCTGTAATGAAGTTCTTTCAAAAATTCTGGAATGAACGATCAAAAAAGAACCAAAAAGCGAAAAAGGTTCTCTGCTTTATCTGAAAAAAAAACATATTTTTCAAGCAGAAAATCACAAAAATTCTTGGAAATAAACGAGGTAGCAATTAAAAAATCATGTCATTTATGAAAGATTAGATCCCGGGCTATCTTCGCATGCATTCATCTCAATTTTCATATTTTTCATGAAAATTGGCTTCTTTTGAGGGAGCTTGAAATACTTCATTGATAACTGACGACATCTACTGATAACTCTGTGCATTGTACATAGAAAAAGTAGTATAATATGGACTAATGAATAAACTTGAGTTTAGCTGACCTCAGCTTAGGCTAACTTTCATACAATCCCGATGTCTATAACTATTGGTGATAATCAAAAATGACTTTTTTTTCACTTCTTATTTTTGTTAAAGATAATCGACCTCATTAAATAAATGTTTCTAATCAACAAGGTTTTCTTTCAATAGTTGTATAAAAAAAATAAATGGGAATTTCTTTTGTTTTCTTCCTAAGACTTATTAAACAAGTAATTTTTGCCTTACTAAAAATATTTGACTATGAAATTATCCAATAAACAAAGAAATAGTCAATCTATTATCATTTATCTCATTGTAGAATTTATTTATAATTCAAAAGAACTTTTTTTTGTTAAAATAACAAAAAATTCAATATCAAACAGATTCATCTATAACAATAAACAAAGTATTTATTTGAAAAAAAACGTTTCTCTTCTTTTTGTTTATTCTTGATGTTTCATTTATCATTAATATTAAATCTTCGACAATTATCAAGAAAAATTCTTTATATTTCGCGTCTTACTCATACAATTTATCCTTTAACAATACGTGAAATATATGATAAAAAACCTTTAAATCAATCAATAAATTTAATTGGTTATCTTCTCAATGTAAGAAAATTAAAAACACATTATTTTCTTGATCTATTCGATGGTTCATTAACAAATAATCAAAAACATTTACAAGTTGTTGCATCATTAGATAAACATCCAAATTTACCTCATTTAACATATGGTTGTTCAATAAATGTACAAGGTAAACTTATTCGAAGTGATCATCCTAAACAAGAACTTGAATTACAAGCTGATCATATTAATTTAATTAATTCATGTGATGCATTTAATTATCCAATTAAACCAAAATTTGAACAAACATTATTAATGTTACGTCAAAATGAACATCTTCGTTTACGTTCAACATTTGCACAAGCTATTTTTCGTTTACGTAGTCAATTAATGTTTAGTTTATATGAATATTTTTTTAAACATAATTTTATTCATATTCAAACTCCATGTTTAACACAAAATGATTGTGAAGGTGGTGGTGAAACATTTCGTATTCAACCATATCAATCACAAACAACTCATACAGAAAAAGAATATTTTAATAAACAAGTTTATTTAACTGTTTCAGGACAATTACATCTTGAAACAGCAGCTAAGTAAAAGAAAAACAAATGTTTAGTTTTCTAATAACATTTTTTTTGCATTTTTAAATTAGTGGTTTTGGACGTGTCTATACACTTAATCCAGCATTTCGTGCAGATAAAACTTTAAGTCGATTTCATTTAGCAGAATTTTGGATGTTAGAAGTTGAAGTTGCTGGTAGGTACAATTATTTGAAGTTTATCATTAGAATATTCACTCGAACAAAAGACGATGTGTAGACTAGGTGTTTTTAGGCTAATTGCAACAAACTAGTTTTGTCTCGATCGATTATCAAATCATTAGTTTTAGTGGTAATTTTGAATAAATGTTCTTTTAATGTCTTTTTTTGTAATACACCACAGATCGAAACGAACCGGATTTTGCTGGTTTGAGTAGCACTAGTTCTGTCTAAATAAGAAAGGAAGAATATCCCTGCGTTACGGTATATGGTGCTGTTTAGTGGCAGATTCAGTAGTTCGATATCTTTCCTACGACTAATATTAGCTGTATCTCTGGATCGAAGACTAGCCTGACGCAGAGTTCTTGTGTTCAATTGTAACTACATATGAGCGACAAGAACAGATTATGTCACCACGTAATGAGCATGCTATCGGACAGATGATCTAAGACAAGCAGTCGTTAGTGACTTGTCTAGAATCATCCCATGGCTTGTGATACTAAGACTTGAACATAGTGCGTCGGAGTACATATCGAGCAACATAGCCATTCAGCCATAATGATACCTAAATAAGACTAGACGATAAAGTGAGAACTTCATTCTCGAATGACTAGAGAGGTCACATTAGAGTTGATACTCGTATCAATTAATACTAACTATGGCATTGATGGATTAAAATTAAGGGTAGCTTTCCTCTTTTTTTTGATCATTTTTGGTTCTCGAAGACAATACGATCAATCAGGCTAAGATTTTTACCACAGATAGAACACCAAAAAAAGGAGACATGTGTTCGAGGAAAAAATCTTGAGGTGGACTTTTGCTATGAAATCCCAGTTTTCTATAGGGCTGCATCCTGGTAGATTACGACCCCATCAAACGTTATCCAATTGGACTGAAAATTTTATTGAGATACCTAAGATTATATCTCAGAGGTAATATTAAGCTTATCCAGAAAGATCTCAATTTATTTTTTTTTATGA